ATTCTTCAGGGCCCCAGGAACCAGTCGGTAAGTATCGTCCCCAGACGCCCGATGTCTTGGTTTCCTCCCTATAGGGCCCCCCCGCGCGTCTCGACCCTTCCCCCCGGGGCCCGGTGTTGTCTCCCGAGTCGTTTTCTTTGACGGCCTGGGGCCCGGCGGGGGCTCCCGGAGACCAAAACCCGCCAAACATTTTCCTGTCTGATCTTCACGACGCGAGCAGCCAGTCGGCGTCACCCCAACATGCTAATGCTATGTGTGCGTCGACCCCCACCAAGGGCGACGCGCGCGCGCCGAGAAATCTTCCAGCATAGGCGTCGTGGCGGGCGCTTCCTGGCCACGCCGCTTCGGGCCACGAGATGCTGCAAGATGGGTATACGAGGTGTTCGGCCGATCGGGTCGGGCGCGCGCCTCCAAGGAGGACACATGCCACTAGCATGTCCCTGTGCGTCCCAGGCAGGGCGCCCACACTGCTCCACCTCCTCCTCCTCCTCGTCCTCGTCCTCGGCCTCCTCGTCCTCGTCCTCGTCCTCGTCCGCCTCCTCCTCCTCCTCCTCCTCCTCCTCCTCCTCCTCCTCCTCCCGCAGAGGGTCAGGCCTCGGACTCGGCCTCCTCCTCCTCCTCCTCCTCCTCCTCCTCGTCCTCCTCCCCCTCCTCCTCGTCCTCCTCCCCCTCCTCCTCGTCCTCCTCCTCCTCGTCCTCCTCCTCGTCCTCCTCCTCGTCCTCCTCCTCGTCCTCGTCCTCCTCCCCCTCCTCCTCCTCCCCCTCCTCCCCCTCCTGCAGAGAGAGGGTCAGGCCGCCTCAGGCCTCGGACTCGGGGCGCAGCGACTTGCGGCCCCCGGGCCTCTGCCTGGGGCCGCCCGCCGCCGGGCCCGGCGCCTCGCGGCGCGCGGAGGGGCTTCTGCCCACAGAGGGGGCTCGTTGCAGAGGGAGGCCTTTGGCCTCCAGGTGCCCTCGCAGGGCTCCTTTTAAGTCGGGCATGTCCCCCTACAGGGGGATTTTCGACGAAAAATGAACAATACCCCAAACATAGTCACAAAATAGTCCAAACATAGTCTGGGGACTATTTTTTTAGTATTTTTTGACCTTTTCGGGGTATTTCTTTGATATGTCTTATTTTTCGTCGAAAATCCCCTTGTATAGGGGGACAGGCCCGACTGAAGGCTCGGTGCAGACGGAGGCCTCTGGCCTCCAGGTGCCCTCGCAGGGCTCCTGTCGCCTCCCCCGCTTCGCTTCGCTTCGGTGTCGATGGATCCCGGTGCCTTCGTTGCCTCGATGCGCGCGTTTTGAAACGCAACACGTCCCGTGCTCAAGACGTCCGTGTCAAAACGTTGCGTGTTGGCTCCACGTAATTATCGGGCCACGCTTTGGCGAACGTATCGCGTCGGACCTACGTTTTCAGTCCTCGTGTCGAGCTCCGTATCAATGCGCCACGTATTGCGTGTTGCGTATCGGGGCAGCTAAGTCCGGTGCCGATCCGCTTCGGGGGCTCCGATTTCTCAGCATGGAGGCCTACTGGCCTGCCCGTTCCCGCCGATTCGACTCCTCTCCCGACTCGGCTGCCGCCTTCCGCCGACACTACACCCTGGGCGATGCTTAAGAAAACTTAAGTTTTCGGCCAGAGTCTCGATGATTCTTAACGTTTCAATGTCAATCTTAAGATTTTCATCGAAACGTTGGGTTTTTCTTCGAGTTCTGAGACTATGAACTTCTCAACCCATGATTTCTTAAGCATTTCGCAGGGTGTAGTCGTCTCGCCTGCCGGTCCGACTCGTCGACTCGCCTCTCGGCTCGCCTGCCCCCGCCTGGGACCGGGGGCCGCCAGCGGAGGGCCGTCAGGACGTTGGCACAAGGGCCGCTTGGGTTAGGGCGGGCCTGTCCCTCTACGGGGGGAACGTTCAGAGATAGTCAACAAATGGTCTGGGGGAGACTGTTTGGACTACTTTTTGATAATTTTTGGCTATTTTTGAGCATTTTTTTTTTTTTTTGTGTGTGTGTGTTTTTGATGGGGCATGTTTTAGCATTTTTTATAGCATGTTGCATATTTTGTTTTGGCATTGCTGATCGAGCATTTTTACCTAACAGCGAAGACTGATAGGTTTCTAGTGGTCTCAAAAGAGAGCATCATGACTCCGGGCAGGATCCGGGGAGAATCCGCGGATCCGCCAGTGACTATGGGGAACGCACCACTGAGGCTGAGGCTGAGGCCCCCAGCGCCGCCAGTGACTATGGGGAACGCACCACTGAGGCTGAGGCTGAGGCCCCCAGCGCCGCCAGTGACTATGGGGAACGCACCACTGAGGCTGAGGCTGAGGCCCCCAGCGCCGCCAGTGACTATGGGGAACGAACCACTGAGGCTGATGCTGCGGCCCCCAGCGCCGCCAGTGACTATGGGGAATCCACCGCTGAGGCTGAGGCTGAGGCTGAGGCTGAGGCTGAGGCTGAGGCTGAGGCTGAGGCAGGCTGAGGCTGAGGCAGGCTAAGGCTGAGGCTGCGACTGCTACTGCCGTTGCCGCTGCAACTGCCATTGCGATTGCGACTGCGACTGCGATTACACCAGAATTCTACAACAGGACTCCTACATGAATCTCAAAGCAATGCTTCCAGATATGCTCCTACACATCGCTGTTAGGTTGCTTTGCCGGGATATGTTTTTTTTGTTGAGCACTGTTTTTGCTTCTTCGTCCAAAATCCCCATGTCGGGGGAGAGGCCCGACCTGACGCTCGCGGCTCGGGCGGGGGCTCGGGGCCTTGGGCCGTGCCTCCGAGAGCTCCGTCGCGGGGCCCCTGCGTGGCCCGGGCTCTCGCCGTGGCCAGCAGGAGCCCCCTTCCGCTCCTGCCTCGGTGCTCCTTCTCGGAGGTCGATAGACTTCGCTACCCTGACGCGTCGATTCAGGATCCAATCCCCAGAGGTCTGGGCCTCGGTGCTCCTTCTGGTCGCGTGGCGACCGTCCCTCGGGGCGAGGGGGCCTCGGGGAGCACCGAGTCAGGAACGATGGGGACCACCAGGTCCCCCAGAGGTCTGGGCCTCCCCCCCGAGGAGGCCCTCGCCCACCCCCAGAGGTCTGGGCCTCGGTGCTCCGTCCGGTCGCGTGGCGACCGCCCCTCGGGGCGAGGGTCGGTCGTCGCGCGACCGGAAGCGACTGAATGCCTGCCCCGCGTGCCGTGGACAAGGCAGGGGCACACAGAGGCCCGCCCCGCGGCCCAGGGGAGCACCGCTCCCCAGCCATGGGGCGCGGCGCCCCCCCGCGCCGCCCCGACGCGCATCGCAGCGACACCCGGCACGCGTGGCGACCGGAAGGAGTTCCCTTCGCTCCTGCCTCGGTGCTCCTTTCGGAGGTGGATAGGCCTCCCACCCTGACGCGTCGATTCAGGAATTGGCCGTTTTCGGTTCGCGGGAGGGCGTCGCGGCCGTCGTTTCTGCGGGTCCAGGTCCGTCGGTTTGAGTCCCAGGCCGTTTTCACTGAGGGGAGGTTTACTAAAGGGAGGTTTATCCACTGCCGATCCTTCCGGTCGCGTGACGATTGTCCCTCGGGACGAGGGTCTCGGGGTGGAGGCCCAGACCTCTGGGGGATCTATCCAGAAGGGGGTCCAGCGCAGAGGGGGTGGTGCAGTGGACTTGGTGCAATAGATTTCTGGGGATGCAACAGATTGGGGGCGTGCAGTGCATGCCGGTGCGCAAATGTATTGCTGGGCGTTCGCGTGCAGTGCGTGAGTTGCAGCACAATGCAATACACTTCTCTGGCGCATGACCTCTGCAGTGCACTTGCCCCAGACCTATGGCACCACTCCCTCTCAGCTGGACCCCCTTTTAGGTCAACCAAACGGGAGCCACGCTGTGAGAAAACCAGGATGTCGGATGTCTGGGACGCGTGGGAGGGCTTGGTGCCGGCGGGGGTGGCGAAACATCTGCAGCGTGCAGCCGGGCTCGGCTCCGCCGCTGGGCGCGCCCCTCGATGCACGTGGCCGCCCCTGGCGCCGGAGGGCGAGCCGGGAAGGCCCGCTGCGTGGGCGGCGTCGCGAAGGGCCCGCCGTCTGCTGAGCCCCGCCTCGTCGCCCGACCCAGCAGGAGCCCCCGACCCCTCTTCGAGTCGCCTCCGCCCCGGGCTTCGCCGAAGGCCGTCCCCCCCCCTTCGGGGCTCATCTCGCCTCTTCCGATGCGGCTCGCCTCGAGGTCGATGGCTTGCGACGCCGGTGCGAGCCGACTCGGCATGCCGATCTGGATTCCGATTCCCCAATGGGGGCCCGACTGGCCTGCCGATTTCCGCCGATTCTACTCCTCCTCCCGACCCGGCTGCCGATTCCCGCCCGTCCGATCCATCTCGATCGCCGACCCGATTTATCGATTCCATTCCTGGCTCTCCTGCCACTCTGCCTGGCCCCCCTCGCCACGCCACACAGCCGGAGGCCTTGGCCGGGGGGCCAAGACGAGTCGGCCTGTCGCGCTTCCTGGCCAGGGCTTCGAGAGGAACCCACCGGTGACGCCGAGGGAGGCCTGGGCCCCAAGACCTAATTACCCTCTCCTTCTTGGCCTTCTCCCTCCCTCTCGCTCTGCCTCCTTCTCGTCCTCGTCGTCGCCCTCCTCCATCAACCTCAGCGTCCTCCACTTGCTCCTCTTCCACTTCGCTTTAGACAGATTCGTAAAAAACACATACAAGTACATATACCTGTGTGTGTAAACACATACGTCGACCCACATATGTACACATGCATGCTTTTCGTTTTCATCGTTGCGTCATCTTCCCTCTCTTTTCGTCGTTCTACTCCTTCCCGTCATGAAGGCATTGGTCGAAGGTGCTGTTGATGCTTGAGGAAGTACGTGCCTTTTACGTTTGTGGAGAAGTGAGACCTTCTCTTCTTCGCATCCTCATCCTCCTGTGACCCTCCTCTTGTTCTTCCTCCTCATCCCGTTCCTCCTCCTCCTCCTCCTTCCCCTCCCCTTCTCGCCCCCCCCCCCCCCCTGCTTCCACGGCAAGCTCCGCGTCTTGGATACTCTACAGGAGGTGCAGAAGCTCCCCTCCGGGAAGCGCGAGCCCACCCTGCCAGCACACGAGGGCGGCACCGTGAAGCCGAGGACGGGGAGGAGGAGGATGAGGGGGGTTGGGGAGCGATTTGCGAAGGTTTCTCGTTCAAGGGTGTCCGCGGCTCGATTGGTTTCGGCTGCGACGCGGTCGGTTGCGTTCAGCCTGTTCGCTGGTTCGGTTAAGTTGCGTTGTGTGTGTGTGTAAACATTTGTGTAGCTATGTGTTTGCTGGTGTATGTATGTATGTCTGTAGGTGTGTATGTATGTATACATGGGTGTATGCGTGTGTGTATACATGAATGCGCGTATGCATGCGTACATGTAAGTATGTATGTATGTATGCATGCATGTATGTATGTATGTATGTATGTATGTATGTATGTATGTATGTCGGTATGTACGTATGCGTGTCTACGTGTATGTTGTCATATATGCTTGAATGCACACATGTCTATACATATATATATATATAGAGATGTGCAGGTATGTCTGTATATGTGCGTGCATGTTTGCATGCAATCATGCATGCATGCATGCATGTATGTATGTATGTATGCATGTGTCTATGTGTGTACGTAGGTATGTATGCATGCACGTTTGTATGTACGTATGCATGTATGCATGCATGCAGGTATGCATGTATTTAGGTGTGTGTATATATGTATGTTTGTACATATAGGCATGTATGTATGTATGTATGTATGTATGTATGTAGATCGGTCGGGAGGTATGTATGTAGGTAGGTGTGTCTTTATGCACGCATGTAGGTATATCGTATGTGTGTAAGGTTCAAATCACGGATGCTTGCGCACATAACTTGTCGTATGTATGTGCGCATATGCTCATATATTCAACCATGCATATACTCACATATGTCTACATCTGGAAGTGTAGACGTATATATACATGTATGTGTACATATCTAGTATTCAAGACGCTTCGCGTTCACCGCCCGCCCATTCCAGGTCTCGCCGGACGAGGCGAAGACGGCTCCATGACGGGATAAACATAGGCAGGAATTCATACAAGTCGTGTGCTTTGTTGTTTTTGTCCCGCGTTCTCTCTTCCTATGCTATCGCCTACTATGCTCAGGCATGCCTCGTGGCTGTTCGACAGTCGGTTTGTCGTACTTGCTACTGTTAGTGGTGGTGGTGCTGCGGCTGGTGTTGCTGCTGGTGTTGCTGTTGTCGCTCCTGCTGGTGGTACGGTGCAGTGCGGGTGCCGCTGCTGCTGTTAGTCCTACTTCTGCTGCTGCTGCTGGCGCTGCTGGCGCTGGTGCTGATGGTGCCGGTGTTAGTGCTGCTGCTGCTTGTGGTGCCGCTGCTGTTGTCAGTGGTGGTGGTGGTGGTGCTGCTGCTGCTGGTGCTGGTCGCAGTGGTGTTGCTGCCGCTGCTGGTGGTGCATTGAGGGTTCTGTGCCCCCCCTGACGACGGCGAGGCGGGGGAGCGGGGCAAGACAGCAATAGGTCCGCATCGGGTGTCACGCGCGCCCGATGTCTGAGAGACGTGAGTGGGCGCGCAGCGTTTTGTGTCGGTGTGCGGGCGTCAGCAGGTGTCATTGGTCAGTGGCGGCATGCTCCCGTGGTGGGCTGGTGTCATGCGGTGGCGTGGCATTCCCGTAGTTCGGTCGCGCTTGTGCAGTCGAGTGATCCGATGGTAGGGAAGGCGGCATGCTCCCGTGGTGGGCTTATGTCATACGGTGGCGTGGCAGTCTCGTGGTTTTGTCGCGCTTGCGCAGTCGATTGATCCGATGGCAGTGAAGGTGGCTCTTGGAGTGGGTTCTCCACTGGCTGACAAGATGACTGGCCCGAGGTGTGCCGTGGTAGATGTCTGGGTGCTTGTCCCGACGGTTGCCCTGATTTTTTTCCCGTTGCTAGTCTCGGCGGTTGCCCGAGCGGTTGGTTGCCCCGACGGTTGCCCTGGCGGTGATCCGGCCGGCAAGGCGCCAAGAAGGGCCGAAGAGGAACCCGAAAAGGGCCCAAAAAGATGCTAAGAAGGCCCCGAAGCGGTCTGGGGGAAGCCCAGGGCGGTTCAAGCGACAGCACTTCCGCGTTGGGTCGCAACCGCGTCCGTCTTGCAGTAAAAACCGGGCGGGGTCTGACCTGGTTTGGGGTCCGTTTTGCGGCCCAATATGGGCCCCGCAGCGTCCAAAATGGACCCCGGAGCGCGCCCAAAAACGGCGAACAAAAGGGAGTGATGAAAAAGTGACGCACGCGAGCCCGGAAGTCAATTGTAAGCAGCGTCCTGGACAGCCCCGGGGAAGCCGAAATCAGGCCAAAACCATAGTATTTGCTATTTTTTGACATCCCCACGTGTCGGCGAGAATGAACCAAAGAGGCGCTGTCGAGGGCTCCAGGAGCGGATATTGGAGGCCAAAAAGGGGCCCCGACGGGGCCGAAATGGAGCCCACAGGCGCCCCGGCAGCGTCTTCAGAACGATACCAAGATCGAGCTTGTCTTGGACGCCGTCGTGGGGCCGTTT